AGGTATAATACCAATTTGTAAATTTAATAATATAGGAGCAATAAAATAACACAATTATAAAATATAAACCTTTAATAGTTTCATTTTTTGATCCCTATTCTTTTGTAATATATATATATATATATATATATTGAAATTAATATTATTTTAAAATAAAAACAATCTAGAAATAATTATGTAAATTTGGTTTAAGAGATAAAAGATAATTATTTTTAAAAAATAAAAAATTTAATTGGAAATTGATTTTTTAAAATTAATATATTATTCTATTTTTTTCAAAGTGATTGGTTTATCAATAAAGATTTAATAAATAAGCACATAAAAAAGTATGATTAATTGAATGGATAAGTATTATATATATATATATATATATATATATTTAAATATCAGATTGTTTTGTTTTGTAATAAAATATTATTATAAATTAATAATAAAATAATTTATAAAGATTTATAGTATATTTTTATTTTCATTGGTGGTATATATGATATTATTTTGATAAAATAAATAAGAAAACAAACGATAACACAATGAATAATGTGTCTTTCTTATCTTTTGTTGATAATAGATTGTGTAAAGAAAAACTTTAGGAACTAATTTTGATATTTATTTATTAGAACATGGAATGTAAATAAATTATTTAAAATTAAATAATTTCTTAGATTAAATCATGAATTATTATTTTCATTAAAATTTGAATAAAAAATAATCTAATAAATATGTATTAATAATCTCAATTAAAATTATTTTTTAAAATTATGTTATTGTTTTAATAAGTAAATCTATTCAAATTAAAGATAAATCATGAAAAAATTATTCAAATATATATATATATATATATATATATATATATATATATATAATTTTACTCAAAATTATAATAATGTGTATATATATATATATATATATATTATAAGCTAAATTTTGTATTATTTTAATTTTATTATATAAAGATAATTATTTATTACTTAAATAATAAGCTGAAAAAAAATTACACTTATTAATATAATTTTATTAAAAATATTAAAAATATGATAATTTTATAAATTAGATCTTTTATTTTTTAGAATTCTTTGATATCATTACCTATTTTTGTGAAATTATTATTTTCAATAAATCATATTATCTCCATTTAAAATTTAGCATCTAAAAAAACCATTTGACCTATATTAACTTCAACATAATCATCTATAAATGTAATCTTGAATTAATAACATCCTTACTTAAAATGGTTTGATGATTAGAGTACATTGGATTTTTTTTCAAAACTTATGAAAATATTACCAAACTTTTAGTTCAACTTATTTTCTTGCTTTAGATATTTAAGATACTATTAAGATCAAAAGTCTATAGTGACCTTATTAAAACAATTTATTGTGAACTGGGCTAATTTATATTGCTACAAGAAAAAGAAAAAGAAAAAGTTACCACGCCATCAGCCTTTAGAAGTTTTTGTTAAAAAAATTCTAATGTATGCCAACGTTGCAAATGTTTTATCTGTTTATTTGCAAAAAAGTCCTAAATTAAGAAAGACATTTTTTTTAATTTAGAAAGTTAAATTTGTGGTTTTTTATAAATGATATTAAATTCGAAAGAATATTTCAAAGAATAATTATTATTATAAAATTATGTAGTTAATTGTGTAATAAATATTAAAAAAAAATACCTTCCTTGTGTGATGATTTCAAAAAAAATAGTTTATTTAATAATACATATTTTAAAAAATGTTAGTTTTAATGCCTCTAATTATCATGTTCTTTACTGATCCATATTATTTATTTTTCCTTGTGTAAAATGAAATTGATATTTAGGGTTTTGTATTTGGATAATATAAGCTCTTGTCTTCTGCAATTAATACCACTGAGACACTACAAAGTCTTGAGTACATTCCAGAATCTTTTGTTTAATTTCGAAAGAAACTTGCAAGTAATCATTGAGAAAAGGTGAATAATACAAGGTTTTAGTAATTGAATACATGATACAAAAATACAAAAATATATGAACACCAAATTGATGAGGTAACAGAATTTAAATGAGCTATGTTAATTTTTTGATTACTTGCATTCTGAAACAAAGATGAAGATGCTGAATTGTATCGATATATGCTTTTTATTGAAGAAAAAATTGTACGATCTCATAGAAGTGAATGTTATGAATTGAATATACATTTTATAATTTAGATTGTGTGTTTTTACTACCTCGCCTTAAATTGCAGTGTTAATTTTTCTTCGTCAGATTAGACTTTAGACTTGAATGCATCAAAGAGTCGAGTTCACGAAATAGGGAACCAGTTCCATTCCAGAGATCCGGTTCCATTCAAGGGAAAAACCAAATCCCCGCCCTCGGATTCACCACAAGCTTGAGGCTTGAGGCTCCCTTTCGAGCCCCGAGCGTTGCGGCAGCAACGATTCTCGCAACCGCGAATCCGAAGGCTGAACAGCAGCCACAGAATCGCGCCACAACCCTCCCTCCATGCGACGACTTGAATCCACACGCAAAGCTACAAGTAAGCTACCTGGTGGAAAGGCGACAACAATCCAGACCCTTTAATCCCGCCGAGTTTGGGTCTTCGGAGCACCAGCCAAGGAATCCAGCACCGATGTGGCCCCTCCCCACTTCGCTTCGTGTGCGGAGATCGATGCGACGAACCCAAAATTCCTTTTCAACCCCTTTTCAGACGAGCCCAGTGTCAAGAGGGACGGACATGGAAGTCTGGCTACGACGGTGCTCTTGTGGACGTAAGCACCTGGTTGTACTCGTTGTCTGTCAGTTCGGGTTGATGCAGACAATGCTGAATATAGGTAAATGTAGCTGGTTTCAGCAAGATAAACATGGTTCAGTTCTTTTCACTCTCAACAAGAAAATTCTTTCAATTATAAGGAAAAACAAACATTTCGAAACCGTAGAAATATCTAGTTCGCATTAGCGAAGTATCTAATCTAATCACAATTTCCAACAAGAGCGCTTCTCCCCGTTCTCGTGAAGTTCTCATGACGTTCCCAATGGGTTCAACGAGTGGACTGTGATCTTTACCTTATCGCCCGCTGGTTCCCATGCCTCGGAAAAGATTCCTGTAGGATTCCCCAAAGATGGGAGATGTCGCGAGGTTCGGGCGAAGGCAAGGTTGCCGAAGCTGGGGATTATGCCGCCCGGCATATTAGGATCGACGGGCGGATTCCGGCCACGTTTCCATCCGACGGTTGGGTATAATACGACGTGGAAGGGCGAACTCCTCACAAGAGAGTGGTCGGCGTGTGGACCCTATCGCCGCTCGCTTAATGAGTGACGCGCTGTATTGGGTATTTGATGATGATGGCTTTGGGTGCTGTGGTTGTTGGTCATTCTATACGGAACAAGGGATCAATCTCATGACCAAGACTTGTGTATTTAAATGATAATATAATCCCAAAAGAAAACACCTTCTCTTTTATTTTTAGTTTAAATTACAAAGTACAAGAGCATGTGTGTTAATACATAAATAAACAAGCCAATTTATCTTCTAACAAAAACCCGAGTGTCAAATACGTTTATACAAACAGTATGTGTTTGTTTAAACCATCAATTCATTCATATGTATATATATATATATATATATATATAAGTATAATATTGACTTTCGATTTTAAAAAAAGATGTATTATTCAAGTGGATCATTCAAAATTCTGTAATTAAATACCAACATTTTAAATTCTTGGTCATTCAGTTGTTGTTTCTGCTAAACTAAAAAGACTGATGAGTATGCAGTAAAAATGTGGACCATGGTATTTATTAAACAAAACGATTCCATGATACTAAAGACTTTTGAATTCTTGTTTCACTGGTTGTTGATTAATCCTTTCTGTAAGGTCTTGTCAAATAGTAAGGTTTCATCAAGAAATGGTCTAGTTTTTTTTATAAAAGTTGTGGAATAACGTTGCCTTGTTAAAATGTAACATTTTTGGTTTTTCCTTTTTTCTGTTAATTTTAAAATTCTGACTGTAAAAGATTTTGAAAAAACCACACATTAATTGCCACATAAAAGTTTAAACTTGTATTGTGCCTGAGTTCCACATTCCGCACATGACAAACATTCACATATTCAAAGCAAACACATAAAATAAAAATTAAAAAAGTAAAAATAGAATCCATTAAGAACCTATTTGTACAGATATGATTCATAAGTGAAAATAACGATCCATTACTCGATTAACACACTTATCAATATTTTAAAACCCATATTCTTGACCAAACCAACCTGCGACCTCGGGAGAAGGAAAGAAGCACAATATTTCGAAGTGAGCCCAAAGCCGCGGAGACCTGTAACCGAACCCAATCCATAGACTAATTTACATCCATACGCATTAGAATACAAATGGAAAGGATATACATGTCAATCCGTCATCTCTTCCCTTGAAGGAGAGCTACAGACTCCGCTTCGACGATTGAAGCTTTCTCGCAGCGTGGCGTGTGTTGGCGTGTGCTGTGCGAGCCGCTGTCGTTCTAGCTCTGGGGCCTTCAGAGTGAGGGAGGTGCACAAGCATACTAGCGTCTTCTGGCTCACTTCAGCACAAATTTGAGTATGTAATCTTTACTTTAGAAGTCAGTCTCCACTGTCGAATTCGGCTGAGTTTTGGTCGCGACTGTACCTGGAATATTTTTTGGAGGTGGCTGCATTGGTTTCACAGGTGGTCGAGGTGGTCCAGGAATCTGCTGGAATAGTTTTGGGACCATTCTGGTGGGAAATCGTCGCAAAGTTTAGGTTCTATTTTGGTGTGTGCTCTTGGATGTGTGAGAGACAGAGTGAGAGAGGGAGAGGGAGAGGCAGTCCTCTTTTGATCCTCGTAATCCTAGTTGCGTGGGTAAGAGTGGTTCGTGCAAGTTCTTCTACTGAAATTTCACTGGAGTTTCATTGTCTTGGGTGTACTACAGAACGGGTGTCCGAAATAGCTCGGCATTGAGTGCACCAGAATTCTCACTGAGTAAGTAGTCGTTTATTGTCTTCGAAACATATGTATCAAGTATTAATTTCGTGGTTGGCTCTTGGTAGGACGGGTAGAATTTTGTGAAGTTTTACAGTTGTTAGGCGCATGGCCGCTTGAGTGTGTAGTATTTTATCACTTTCACAATCATCTGCTTCGCAGTATCCGACACTTCGTATCCACTGTTTAGATCGAATTAATTACTTATTAGGCTTTAAAGACCAAGGGAATTCCCTTTCCTCACTTCTTCTTTTTTTCATCCTTGTTACTACATTCGCTTACCTGTAATGCCACTTTCAAGTCCAGAGCTTTGTCCCTTGTCTTCAGAGTGAGGGTCACTATTTATTTTCCATTCAGATTTGCATTCTTTGTTCAAGTTCCACTTGCTTTCAAGTCGAAGGTCCTGGCCTCTCCTTAGCTTACCTCCGGTGATCGGCATGTTGTTTTTTTGTCTGCCCCTGTCTCCATGATCTCTTGAAGATGGACTTCTGGGGTTTCCCAAGCCCGGACTCGCACAATTGTGTATATTGCGAAGTTTTTTAAGATGAAACGTAGTAGTTTCTTGTCACAGAAGGTGTTTATTTTTAATAAACATTTCTGCTCGCGAAGAGCTTAGGGTATACTTAGGTCTTTGATGTAAGTGTATGTTCTTCTTCCCAAATTACCAAGCAATCAGTGTCTGTCTTCTGGTTGTTTTTATGGGTCGATTCCCTGGCAGATGAGTGACGCTTCTTTGGAGTTTTTGGCTGTTCTTTGATTTGAGGCCACAAATTTATGTGGAATGAATTTGTTAAAAGGAGGCGCAGTCCAAAGTCAAATCCGCGAGGGTATGTTATTTTCATATGGAAAATAGCTATATATCAAGATCGTGTCTCCCTTAGAACATTTTTTTACAATAATCTAATTTGATCTTTATCTTTTAATTTTTTTACAATTTCCGTATTCATTTTGTGACCCACTGATGAGTTTTTGGTATGTGCTTGCAGGTTTACAACTATAAATTATGGGCATCGTGTAGTAATTGAGACTTATTTTTGACACGCCTTGTTTAAATTGTGCGGGCGTCGTTGTGGTCCTTAGTGATGGAGGCGAGCATTGCGAATTCTGTGCGCCACGTTCAAAATGTAGTTTCACTACATGGACATCCTACATGTCCTGAAGGTTTGGGAAGTAGATTACCGTTAAGAAGCAGCAGTTTTTTACGAGGCTCAAGCCTCCCGAAGCATCGTCTCTTCTACTCTGGATTCATAAGGCGTGCAGAGATACTTGATCGTGTTTTGAGGTGTAGCGCTAAATGTAAGCTCTTCTTCTTTCATACTAATCTCAATGGCTGTCACAGATTAAATGTGAGATTATGAAATGGTTTTTTTTCTCTTATAGACACGTGAGTGCTTTGGTCTAATTACTGAAGTATGTCATGCTGGCGAACTAATTGATTTTTATTTATATTTATTTTTTCTATATTTTAAAAATAACAATAGTATGTTTCATATTACTAAACGGATGCACACAGTACAAGGTTTAATATGTGTGTGTGCTTTTATTTTCAACAGATGGAGTACCATCTGGAGACACGGGCAGTTCAGCATATAACAAACAACCTAGTGAGAAAAGTAAGCACCACCTAGATGTAACTACTCGTACTCCTCAAGGTAATCAGGACGGACTCAAGCCTCTCAAGTCTTCATCCAATAAGCCAGTCCTGTCAATGCCCTTCAAAGTGGAGGAGGAAACCGCGATCGAGACTTCCAAAGCGCGACACAAAGGAAGAGTTGGCACATACATAAGAGAAGGCAATGTATCACTGGCGTCATTTGGCATCAAAGTAAAGCGTGACAAGAAGGGAAAAAAAGTTGATCTTACGAAGTCACTATCGCAAATGCTCCCGTATGTTGTTTTAGCAACTGCGGTATCTGCGTTGATTCAGCCTGCTTCTTTTGCTTGGTAAGTGGCTATTGGGTGTGGGCCAAGTATGTAATTGTTATGATACACGTAGCTTCTGATGCATGCGATGATTTAGTTGTTGATGTGGACGAAACTGTGAATGTTTCTCTCATTCTAAACCAGATAAAACCTGTAGTGACTAAAGATTTTGATGGTTTCCACAACCATTACACCTTCCAATCTGTGTCTTTTTTTAGTAATATGGTCTCCTGTGTTGTTGGACTTACCATTGCGTTCTATGCAGGGTTAGCAAAGACTATTACGCTCCAGCCCTCGGAGGAATTATGCTGTCAATAGGGGTGCAGCTGTCTGTTTCCGATTTTGCGCTTGTAATCAAAAGGTATTACATCCCTTCGAAATAAAATGTCAGTGGATTTTGCCAGTTGTTTTGAGAAACGCGTATACATAGAGGAATGTGTAACTGATCTAATTTAATTTAATTTTCATTTCTACGTGAAATGGCAGTGTATTTTTAAGATGTAGTTGTTTGAAATATGACAATGCTGACGGTTACAAGTTCTAAGACCTTGTGCTCTTTGAATTTTCAGGCCTCTGCCTGTACTGGTAGGATATGTAGCTCAGTACATTGTGAAGCCCCTTTTGGGACTACTGGTGTGCGCTGCCTTAAGCGTGTCTCCAGCATTCTCATCAGGATTAATCCTTACATCTTGCGTCGCTGGAGCTCAACTCTCAAGTTATGCTGCTTTCTTAAGTGAAGGCGATGTTGCCTTGAGCATCATTTTGACAAGCTTAACCACAATCACGTCCGTGATTATTACACCTCTCCTGACAAAATTTCTGATCGGATCTGTTGTGCCGGTGGATGTCATTGCCATGGGCAAATCTATCCTTCAGGTAATTCAGACCTACCTCAATTATTGATTTCGAGGGGAATATTTGAATTGGAGTCCAGTTGTGTAGGGTGTATTTGGTCTTTATCATTATTCAGGCTAGCTGTTTACGTAGGTGTTTTTGATGATGTGTGTGATGTATTCAAACTACACGTCTTTACTTACTGATCCCGAATTTATTTTAATTTCTTGGATTGAAGTTGGAGGAAACTCATGATCGATGTTGACTCGCAGGTGGTGATTCTTCCCATTGTCCTTGGTCTTAGTTTGAATACATACGCCAAGAACTTCGTGGACAAAATACGGCCGTTTATGCCCCTAATGGCTATGGTGTGCACTTCTTTGTGCATTGGAAGCCCATTGGCTTTGAACAAAAGTCGAATTGTATCTATGGAAGGATTTCTCCTTCTGTTCCCTGTGTTGGCATTCCACATTAGTGCCTTCGTCCTTGGATATTGGGTTCCGAGATTGCCATTCTGGAAGCAAGATGAGAAGGTTTCACGGACAGTAAGCCTGTGCACAGGCATGCAAAGCTCTACACTGGCAATGCTTTTGGCGACACAGTTTCTTGGTGATAGTCACGCGGTTCCTCCTGCATGCTCAGTAGTTGTGATGGCTATAATGGGCCTGTCGCTTGCATCCTTTTGGGGGAAGGGGCACCAGATTCGCAACATTAGAAGAGTACTACCCGGAGATGTATCATATGCCTGAGTTGTCTAGTTCCCCAATTGTAGTGCAGAATCATTTTTGAGGTAGTAAGCAGAAATTTGAGGTAGAGAATGGTGTGCCAATTTGGTACTATCCCTGTAAATTTATTAATCGATATGCAACTGATTCAAATAGTGGCATCGGTATTTGTATTATAAAGCATATTTTTGAGTTCAATTCTTTTGTCACCCAGCTGCCATGCAACACGATTGAGCTGCGACCTTTTCAGGCATTTTGCTGCTTTGTCCATCTGGACCTGTACTGTTTTGATAAGTAATGTGTGTTTTATAGCTTAAATTTGGGAAGAGGCGGATTGACAATCAGAAGGAAATCTTCATTATCTTGTTGAGAATACTACCTATACGATATATCTCTCAATACTAGAATCTAAACACATGCATAATTGACAGTTGAGCCACTCAATGCATGGCATTGTTAATATTGTACACTGTAACCGCACAGGGAAATTTAGTATACTGGTCGACTTTCATTCATTAATATGCCTGAAAGTTGTGCACGTCATGGGTTGTACTGTGAGGTTTCAAAGTTGAAAATTAGCCCCGTGGCTTACAACTTCCATTTCAATACGTTATTTACAATTTGGTATATTCTAGTTTCTTTTCTCGGAACTTCCGACCCATGAATCCTCATGATTTGCTCTCTGCGCCAGTTCACAGCTCTTTGATTTCTGGAAATCCTTGTGCATTTCAGTGTAAAAATGTTTGGTTCGATACCAAAGCAATCCGGCTAAAGTCGCGGCTCCAATGCTCACCCCCATCAAAGTAAAACACGTGCGACGAAAGCACACGGAGCCATCGCAAATCAGCACGGAATTCCCGCCCAAGTTCAACCTATCTGCTTGCTTCCTTGCCTCCGCGTCGTAGAACTTGCCCGCCACAGGGCCAGACAGGATGTAGTTCCCAACAGAGCTGGAGATATTGAGACAGTTGTAGAGCGTTGCGAAGCGCTTCAATCCAAATTCCTCTGCAACAATGGTCGTGTAGACGGGAAACAGCGTGCCGAAGGACATCCCTAGCAGGATGGAGCCGTAGTAAAGACACGCAGGGACATTGACGGCGAGAAGCACGTAGGCAACCGCCATCATGAGTAGAGCAATTGTGTAAAACTGAGTCCGGGGGAAGCCATACCGGAACAGAAGATAGTCGGAAAGAAATCCCCCCACCCAGCGGCCAATTGAGTTCCAAATGCTCAAGAGCGACACAAATGTTTTTACATTCGTGGGAGGGTAGCCAAGAGACAATCCAAGTTGGCCCATGTTGTCGGTTGCTGTTAGCCCCGAGCCCACACCGAAAATGGTCGCGACAAAGAGGATCCAGAAATCCAAGCTCGTGAGCGCTTCCCGGATGGTGTGGTCCTCTCCTCTCTTCGGCCATGCTTTCTTGGTGTGAATTTGTTCCCTATCTGTATCTGCTCCCAACGAGGAATTGTCTTCGAGCTCCTTGCCCGCACCACTTGCGTATAGATCAGCAGCTAGTTTACCCTCGTCAACAATCTGATTTCCAGTGTGTAATTCTTGTCGAGATTGCAATCCATTAGATTCCTGAAGCATGACATCACCAACAGTCGACAATGGCTCGGAAACCACCTTCTTCTGTTCATTGTCAGCGGCTTCTACGTCATCCTGTCCTTCTACAGCATTCAGACTTTGCTTGCCATGAATTTCAGAGCTGTAGGTTATGATAAGCAACGGAATGACAAGGAGGACCAACATCCCAGCTCCGACCAACCGTTCGGCATTCTTACTCATTTTAGTCAAGTTGCTGGCAACATTCACGCCCATTAGATAGAAGGCGAGAGCAAAACCAAGAGCTAAGTATGCATAGAAGTACTTGCTATCAGGAAGACCTTGAAACGGTTTGACATTCGACCGAATGAAGAAAATGGACACAAGAGCTACAGTAGAAGGAAGCCAAACTAAGAGCAACAAGAAAGCTTCAGGGTTCTTGGAGCCCTCGATGGCAACAAAGACTTGAATGAGGATGGCGCCGCTGATGCCAATGTACCCCTTCATCAAGCTGATGATGATGCCTCTGCTCGAAGGGAACATCTTCACGGCCTGTACTAAGACAGCGGTGTTGAACATGGGCTGAGAATTCGCGCCGATGAAGAGAAACAGACACATTTGCCATAAGGAAGGAGAGATTCTCTTCGTCAGCGCAAGCCATGATAAAGTGTACCCTAAGGTTCCCTGCACCGACCCCACGAGCAGCACTCCCCCTGGCGACCAGAAATCATACAGCAGTCCTGCAGGGATTCCTAGGTTCACTCCCAAATCCTTGAAGTTAGCAACTAGGTTCATCTGCTCTTGATTGATGTTTAGAACCGACTTCAGCTTCTGAGAGTAGAGACCGAAGCTGTATGCTCCTGCGCTTGTGATCATTACCAGGATTCCTACTGCGATCACAAACCATCTACCTCGGAATACTTGCAGCAGGGTTTGAGAGAAGCGGCCATCGGAACAGCTGCCAGCTCCCGCAGTCGCTGCCATCACTAACGATTAGTTGCAGACAGCCTCAAGGCTTGTTCTTCATGTGAACTACAGCTAATTTGCTACAAAATTATTAGTAGGTTTGCACCGAACCAGCTGTACCAAGACCTTCGAATGGACGACAGGGTACTCTTAAAGACATTCCCCACCACAAATCTGCCGCTTGCTCAGCACTTCAGACGTTGCACAGAGATGGTGGTACGAATTACTCAGCTAAATCCTCGCCGGAAGCTCAGCATGCACGCTTTGTTCTGCCCTGAAAATCCTCTTCACAAAATTTCTGCGAGCTGGGTAAGGCACCTGGCGTCACAGTAATTGCTTCCAAACATAGAATAGAATAAAACTCACAGATCTACGCTACGCCATGCTTGGCACGGAAACTTCATTACTCTAAATTTCCTGCATGGACCTAGATTGAATCCATGGACGACTTCATTTGCATAGCAACGACCCCTCTCGTTGGGTCTAACCCATCGTGAAGCGTCCGAGCTAAGTGAACTTTTCATCCTCAGATAGAATTCCGTCTCCATGTCACTAAGAAAGTGATTGAAGACACTTACACTTGAGCATGTTCTGAAATTTCGAAAGTACCTCTTAAAATAGAAGTTCTAAGATGGCCAATCATATTTGATATAGTGCAGATCGACAGAGGTGTTACGATAGGTTAAGCCAATGAGTCTGCGGCAATATCTCATATCAATGATCCGAAAGCCCCTCACGATAGAAAGAAAGAAATAAATTTCCATTTTTTCACCTCTGGAAGAAGTGATCGCTCCTACATCCAAAGCGTTGTGATAATGTCACGAGCTATGGCAAAGCACACAGCTCCTACTGACCCAGCTTACAAGTTTCTGGTGTTGATCCCCAGTTTCTGGAACACGCACTTCTGATGTGTAGCGAAAACCCAAATTCGGATTAGTTAAACAAGGAAGATTGAGTTAGATTACTGGAAATTTTCTTTGGCTCTCCACACGAGACCGAAGTTGCTTCGTAGGGTCCAGAACATGGTCCGAGCAGTGACCTAAATAATTCTTAATGACGAGTGCTAGTGTACGATATTTTGACCAAATCTTTTCCTTGGACAAATATATGTCCGTGATTGGTACCCTTAAACGAGTTATGTTCAGCAATCTTCCATGCCAGCTCAAAATTCTCGAGAGCTTCTCTGTCAACATGACCAATCCTGTACCACAGCAGTCCGGCGAAAAACGCCACACCAAGAGCAACTCCCAGCAGAACCAACAGAAAACGACGGAAACATGAAGCATGGTGACAAACTAAACTCACATGTTACTCATATGTTGTAGCATTTGACAGAACACATTTCTGGTCTAGCTGCTGGTCTTTCCAAGGCTCGTTCTGTTCTTCCTGAGAACGAGCCAGTACCCGTCTTCCGACGCCCACTGTTCAACAGTATAATTAACCTTCTTCATTTTGAGACCAACTTTCACCATTCTCATATTCTATCTGATGCTTTTCTATCTGATGCTTTGAGTGATGGAAAAATTGAATTGAGACCCACGCCGGCGAGCCGGGCATGGGAGGCCTATATCTCATGTGTAAAACCCGAAGGTTTTTCTCGTCCTTGTCGAGGGAGATGCTAACCTTCTCTTGGCTAAACGATCACTAAGAATCTGACTTGTGTTCTTATAAATGTTATATAAAGTTTTCAGGCAATCAACATGGGGCAATACGATGGACCGGTGAAGGGGAGAAAAAGGCCATGTCAACGATGGTACTCACTAACTAAAACCAGTGAGGTCCCGACTCTTCTGACGTCTAAAAACACGATTTAAGAGAGGGGAGTAAGGAAAAAAAGCAAAGAACTAATAATTTTGTGATTATAATAAAGATGATAAATAAATAAATAAAATACAGGAGGGAAAGGAAAGAAATGTAACCCATAAACAAGAAGCTGATATTAAACAAGGCACACCGGAACCGGGAGGTTAGCTCAGCATCCGCAGAATAAGATTTTCATTCATTCTAGAAGCATGATTTCAGCCTCTTGTATTCCACCATACAAATTGTGGGCCTAAAAAGTTTAAGATTGTTACTTTCTTTCCCAATTTCTACAGTAAGTTACCAAATTGCAAAATAGTATTCTAGAAGGTGCACTGAGCTTCAATCGTAGTTTGGAACATATACATACATTCATTGATCTCGATGTTGCCCAATATTTTAGTAGGAACAGCTTCCATCTACCCAACTGGAGTTTAACCTCTATTAAGGGTCTTTTCGGTTTGCTTCATCTGACTGTCAAGGTCTCCACTGAAGAGGTAAGCTACTTTAAGGGTTTGCAACTAGAAATGTTCAAATTATATCGTGATAACTATTGCAAGGACTTGCTTAACTTTCATATGCGACTGTTCAAATCCGCAAGTCATCAATAATGAAAAATGCTAGCTCTTGAACAAAGAATCGACCCAGTTTGGGTGGGTTAGGCCTAAAGGGGTTCAGATCAAAAACACACCTAATGATTTGACGATACCAGTGACTTGCTAGCCACTTTTCAGTAGAAAAACTGAGAATTTGTATTAGCACTAAACCCGGTTAGCACGCTAGGGCTCTAAAATTTGAGAACATAGACAACATGAAATCATACATACCTGCTGGCTCACTTTTATCTTTGAATTGAAAAATTCCATGAGATGTGCATATGAAATAGGGGAGAGGACATGTAAATAGATTACAGGTGCAACAGGGCTATTTCTAAAAACTAGATCTTCACTCTACTCTACCGCCGTATGAAAGTTCATTGTTACAAACAATGTAAGGATCCAGCTCCTTAGCTTCCGCTCCATTATAGAAGAGTTAAACTACGATCGGTAAGAGACACAGCAGTTGGCATGAAACCAAATTCAAACGGCCTTTATCTCAAATAAGTAGTCTCAGTCTTCTTTTGCCTCATCGTTTCCACCAAACTGTGTGGAGTTTCCATTCCAATACGTGTTTTTACCCTGCGAAGGATCCTCGTCATTTCCCCTAAGAGTATGAACATTTGAACTACCCCCTCTTCTTTGACTCAACCTTCCAGCTTGCGCAGAATTCTCCTGAACTGGTGGTTCTGGTCGACTTGAGTTTACAATTGTAGGATGAGAGCTCTCCCGTAGAGCTCTGGTCGTACCTGGATTCGATTCTGAAATTTCGTCAAAATAACAATAAATAAAAATAAGAATAGCGCAGTAAATGCTCTCGATCTGCATATTACAAACTCACTTTCTAATCTCTGAAATTACAGCTTAGGCTCAGAAGAATTCGTAAGGGCGAAAAGACTGGAAAGAAGGGTGGTGGCAAAATCATACTACGATAAATGTCATTGAATCCACTCAGACTAACATGTAATGAAAGATATTCAAATAAGTAATCTCAAATAGGCCCGAGAAGTTTACCGCTAGGAGGTGCAGATGAGGAGCTCTTGTGATCTTGGGGTGAATTAGACCTACCATATACATATGGACTCAGAAAAGATAAAAACCTTCCAACATAAGATCCGCCACCTTCATTTGCTTCACTTTGAGCAGAGCTATGGGAATCGTTATTTTGCAAAGTCCTAGAATGATATGAGTTATCCGATGGAGTGCCATTGCCTACAAGTAATAATGCTGACCGTGGACCAATATCCAATTTAGATAATGCCTTATCCATGTCTGCACAAAACAAGAGTGCTTCAGAGTAGAAAATTATCTAAAACTCTAGAGGAACAAGAAACATGACTAGAACTCTTTAACTAAGCAAATAAAGTCTTGCCGCACGTAAAAGATAGCTTCCTTTTCTCCTTATCATGCATGTTATAAAAATAATATAGCTTGTGGAAACATTAAGCTGAACCAAAAAATTAAATCAGAAGCAGAAAACAATATCCATTGAGAAGGTTGTTATCACCACACTAATCATCAACTCTATTCTGTGAAATCCTAGCCTTCCTGAGTTTGCTGGATTTCAATCCTATCATCCAAAAGTTCAGATCTCCAACTATTCTATTTCACATAGAAGAAAGGAAAAAAAAAAAAAAAAAAAAAAAAAAAAAAAAACGTTGCAAGAGGAAGTGGATGCCAATTAGTTACCTTCCTCAGTAAATATTTTTCGAGGGAATGGAACAGCCAACCGATAATCCATATTACCGTCAGTTCGCTGAAGGTCAATGAAATTTTTTACATCCCTCAACAGCTGGTAAGACTCGAACGTCCCTTGTATTGTCTCACCATTTGTGAGTTTAACCTGTAGAGGAAACGGACCAGTCCTGACGCGCGGCACTGAGACCAGCTTTTCCACTGATTGTTCCCGACGCATGCTGGTATTTTTCCCATTTCCGTTCCCGCTCCCCTGCTTAACAACTGTTCTAGCCTCGGCAGCCTTTAAAACTTGCGAATCATTTTTAGCGGCACTAGATTTTGAGGCTAATGTGTTGGTTTCCGTAGAGGTACTACCACCAGAACCCCGTTCATCACGAGATTCGACCCTCGAGGGACCAGCCTCTTGAATTGGGTGCGCCACAGGATTGACAGGACTACTAGTGACAACGGTTCGTTCTTTGCGACTTGCAACATCCACCCCCATTGATGACCCCTCGTTTTGACCAGTAGGCATTACTTCTCGCTCGGGAGCAACGGAATTCGCCACTGTGCTGGAGTTTGATTGTACTGGAGTACCTTCGTCTGTGCAGTTGCCTGCATGTTCCACCGTGTTTAGATTGACATACTTGCCATTAAACTGCAATTGTAATTTAAGAATCCGTATCATTTACATGCAATTTACAGTCCCGCAACAGTAATGACACAGTAGTAATTAATGGAAATTAGCAAGGTTGATAAGTGCAACACATAAAATCAACAATACAGACCCCACTGTCAAACTTCTAGCAGATATTGTTCAGTGGCACCACCTGCAGATTGAGACTCAGGAGCTGAAGAAGCGGTGCCACTCGCTGTCATGTTTGCTGAAGAAAGAAGGGCAACCATGGCGCTTGCTGCACGCGCTTGCTGCAGCTGATGGAGAACAAGACTTGCTTTTAAAATATAGTCAATACAATGATTTTCCATTTATCGATCAACCGTGTTGAAGTGAATGGAAAATGCGCTTACGGTTCGAAGTCAAACCTGAGTTTTTGCAGTGGCCACGGCCTGCCGCAGAGCTGTCAAGAGTTCCTCTGTTCCTTGGTAGCCCTCTATATCACAACAGAGCAGGATTATACATCAGCCGTGCCCTGTAGCAGAGATGTTGCTCAACTAAGATGATAAATGAGAGACATGCATTCAAGGGTTATACCGAAATCGAAATAATAACAGCAAGGTGCTAAACTCCAGGTTGAGGAACTGAAGTTCTCGGAAACAAAGGCTTACCCAACTGACACAGTAGCGAGCCTTTATATCCGAGGAATGTAATTGTTGGAACACGACTTAGGGGGACTTACGTAGTTCTTATTAAGGAAAAGACTATTGACATGGATCTACTAACTATCACGAATGCTAAACTCCTGTTGCAAGACCACAGTAATCCGTTGGATGCAAAATACATGGTCTCTGAACCAAAATTGGCTTCAAATAAGCAGACTAACTTTTAATGAAAAGGATACAAATAGCTTGAAAATAAGCAGCATCAATGGTTCCTTCCTGTAATCGAAGGATCAGACTGTGCTGCTTCACCTCATCCAACACCTGTGCCGAGTCTCACATCCAGCAAGCTCAGATTCCTCCGATCAAAACCATCAAAACGAATTCATCACGGATAAACGCCCATGCAAAACAGAGAACTTCTTTACCCTATACCCTGACATCCAGTAATTGCCTCTGACAATTATCATAAAAATAAAAATAAAAGCCCAAGAACCCACCGCTGAATCGTGAAATGTCGTCAACTCCATGGAAACCGACTCCTCATCATCACCTGTCGAGAATGAGAAAAAGCTCGCGCCACAACGTCAGAATTCCCACTCCTCCATACCCCGCATCGAAACACTCAATTCACAACACACCCACAATCTCCAAACCCTACCTGCTACGAAGACAATAAGAACCAAATCATCCTGCTGAGCCCGAGCAATCGCCTCCGAAGTGGAACCCTTGAAAAAAATTCCGGACGGGACGTTCACATCCCCATCCGAAGTATGATCGAAGGCTCCTCCATCTCCCCGCGCAGCCTCCATAATCCAGAAATGGGTTCCGAGAAGACTCTAACCAGGTAAGAAAAAGCGCACGATTTGAACCAAATGGGAAAGACACGAGCGAGAGATTGGGGATCAAAACAGGGATTCAACACTTAGTGACTCGAACGAGCCTGCGATGAAGCTCGAAAGCACACTCTAGTAAAATTTTTTTAAAAAAACGACAAAATATCCCCTGCAACTCACAACACACACCCACAGAAGCAAGACCCACGACAGATAATTCGAGATACCCTCTGAGAACCGCATATGATACCCAGTTACACTGGATCGAAAACAGGTACCGATCCATCTTACACGAGTGTGACACCCGCCATGGTACCGCTGCCCCCTCCTTAACCCCAACTTTAATCCCTTTCATAAATCCTCACACTGGCATGTACCATGTACATTGTATGCAATATTGTTGTAAAGTATTTTTATATTTTAGAATCGACGTGATTTTGTGTTCGAATAGTTTTAAGTTGCTTGAAGTTCGAATGTAAATATGTAACAGAAAAAAAATGTGTATGTATTTAAATCGGCCATTTAATTTGTGTGATTTTGATTTTATGAATTTGATGGAACAGAATTTGTAGGTAGTTCTTTTGTTTGTAATTTATCTAAGTTTGTCTAGTCAAACTCAAAATATCATCCCATGTGAAATTGCAATGTAGAAGATATTAATTCCTGTTTTTTTATAATAAAAAAATTAATTAATTTTTTAATATTACTGGTTTGAACTTGGTACTTTGATGCAATCCGGAACTTTACTATTGGTTTTGATTTCTTTAAACATTTTTTTTTTTTTGTATTTTTTTGTATTATTAATTGCACTTTTAAATGAAGGAATGCAATATGGATATGGTATATTTTTTAATAGCATCAAAATCACTTTCAGAATTCCTGTTGCTCAAAATGTTTGTATTAGTAATAATTGGAAAAATACAAAAAATCGTGTAAAATTAAACTTAACATATATCACAGGTACACTTAAAATACATACATTTTTTTCGAGTAATAAAACTCATGAAAGGCAACTTAGCACTTGTTATTGGTACAACTCTATAATATTACAAGTTGGCTACCTCTACTGCAATTAATTGCATCTGAAGGAAGTACGTTGTCATGTAAATGTGTGTATACATCATGAATTTTTTGGTAATTTCATATTAGCTTTTTAATCATGTAATTTAATTGGATTGATTCAAGTTTGATTGGTATTTAATAATTATTCAGCTTATTTACATCTAGTCAAACAACACATATTAGAAGGCAATTTATATTGTTAAACTGAATATTGTAAAATTTTATTGGTTCTAAAATAATTATGTAAAAAGCATATATATATGTATATATATATATATATATATATATATATATGTATGTAGATTCAATTTACAATCATCTACTTGGGTAGAACTAATATAAGATAATTAACATAAATAAGTATTACATGACTGGAGTTCTTAATCACAAAGATGTAGAGGAAATATTTTATAATCCTTAATAATTAATGCATGCTAAATAACAATAAGACTCACATGCTTTTACATTAAAAACATATGCTAAAGTTATCTTGCTCTTCACACACTACAGTCTTGTTTCCTAATACATAATCTAAAATTGCATTATATATTAGAAGGAATGTTAAATCATAATTTCCAACATTACTTTCTTGTCTACTGTATGTCATGTCTACCATAATCTTCTAAGTTTCTACACTCATTACATTTTTAAAATATATAGGTTGGTCTTTGCCTTCTATTTTCATTGATTTTTATGTCCATGCCTATTTGCTTTATTGTCTTCATCAAATCATAGTCCACCTATATCTTTGTTGACTTATCTTATTAAATTTTATCCACTAATGTCCAAGCCATGTCTTTGCCAACAAGTCTGATAATCTTATGTACAATTGTGTTTTTGTCCATGTCTTCACTTTTGATTTTTAATAATAATAATAACAATAAATACTTAACCATGAAATTATGTTTTTTTATTTTAATATTCATTTGTATTTTATTCATTTTTAATACAAAAAATACTGCAATTAAAAAGATTAAAAGCACATTGGAAAATTGAATATTTTGAATTTATCTGTAATTTTAACAATTTTTTAAGTCACATTATTTTGGAATTTTATTACACATAGAATAGGGATTGAAGCTTATGTTTTTTGTACCCTTCTCAGATTCATGTGGTAGCAAATTACTATCAACATTTTAGCAATAGTTAAACACAAAATCTTCTGCAGTCTTCAACTTAAACACTTTCAAACAGTGTTTTATTGTTGCAAAAGACATTCATGATCTTTATGTATTAAAATCAAAATTCTAATCTATTTTTCAATATTTTCATGATTTAAGAATATATCATGACACCTTAATATTTCTAATCACCATTTTTAATGTTAAAAATCATGATGTTAGTGTATTATTATGTTTTCTACATAACCAATATTCAATTTAAAATGTTTCATGTTTCATGTCCTATACGATAATTGAAGAAATTGACGATTGAAGTATATCATTCCACACAATATCATAACAATGATCATCTTTTATTTAAAAAAAAAACATACAAATGGCAAAATCACCTTGAACAACTATATAATTCCTTCTAAACTATCACATTGTCAGCAACTTAATTAAGCACAAAATGGACGCTCCAGCAGATGCTCCTCAGCAATTTTCCTTTCATCTTCAATTTCCGGAAGGTGGCATGTAAGTTCAGAACAAAGAAGCCTCGGATATGACGCCAGATGCGATTTTCCAACGGACCCAAGTGGATAAAACTTTTAAACTGTTCGGCTTTGAAGTTGCCGAGGTAGTCGGTAGCAGTAAAGCTCAAGCAAGTATCCCTCACAGACCAGAAGTGAGAGTTTGTGGACCAGTTGGGGCGTGTTTTGGAAAGGTGATCCACACACAACTGCTTTAACATTGGAGACAGAGGGGAAACATAGACATGAAACGGCGTGAAAGTTTCATCTCTGGAATATATACTTCGTTCACATACCACCGGTTTTGAGTCCAGTGCTGTGGCCTTTTCAGTTCCTTTTGTTTTTTTTCTTAACTACTCTTCGGGAACCTGACACTTATTACCGCGACTACTTTATGAGCTTCGAAGTGTGGGTGTAGTTCAACAGGGCTAGTTTCAGGTGTCGGCCAGCCTTCAATCTCATGTGATCGAAATGTAACACCTGGTGGCAAAACAAAAAGATGACATTCGCTTCTGAGAGACTGAAAGGATTGAGCTTAAGGAGCTTGATAACTACCTCTAACGTTCTGCCAATACTATCCCACCGTCATTGGCACACTAATACCGATGGTTTATTCCACTCCCGAAGTATATGAAAGAGAGGAAGTACTGAATATCACGAGTCTAACAGTCTCCAGTGATGGCTACAGAAAATTCATATGAGCTCCAAATGCAGATCATCTACTATGACCTAAGCCTCACTTCCTAAACATACTATTTAGAATCGCGACAGTGAGCTTTTCGGAGGCTGCACCTCAGAAAGTTTAGTATGGATTCCACCAGTACTGACCGGCGACTCGATTAGAACCGCGTACCTTCTAGAAAGAGTTGGCGACCAATCTCGCTTCCACCAAGTCCAAGGTCTTGTAAATCTTGCCGTCTCCGAAGTCTACGGTGTTGAATTGGTTGTCCACCACGAAGAGCTGGCGACGGTTTTTTATCACGATATGACTAACCTTGGCCGCGAATTCGACCGTAATGGTAGCAGTTTGCCTTTTGACAAGGCGAAGGGTGAGAATCTCCATCCTCTTCAAAACCTTCCCGTTCACCTTCATGTCGACTGAGGAGACGTTCTGGATAGTGGAATCCGCGGCTACTTGCAAGCACATAGAGGAGAGAAGCATGGTGAGGAGCAGGAGGGAGAGAGCTCGTGGAGAGGCAGCCATTGTGGTGAGGGAATAGGAACAAGGCAAATGATGGACACTGGGAGCAACAGGTTCTATACGTGGAAAAACGAAGACGATAAGTAGAGAGATATCTGAACAAAAACAAGTCGGATCTACTATATAAGGTTTAGGAAATGAGACTGATCTCTTTACCGAACGAAAAGGAACCGAGTCAGCCGAGACGACATGTCTACGGTGCAAGAAAGTCCACTCAGTTGCAAAAACAGCTGTACACCAGCATCATCGTAACTCTAGAATTGGAAAACGCCTGGAAACCATCACAGCACAAGGCAGGAAAGTCTTGGCTCTATAACGAAATTCTCGGAGCTGCCCTGGCCGATCTAAGTCACCTGCATTCGCTTTGCACCATCGTGGAGATAGGAAACCCACAAGAGAGTTAGTTGTATAATTTTGGGTTAGCAAGTCCACGTAGGAAGAAGCCAACTACCCTCACACATGGACCTGCCCCTAGATCTGGACCCACTACTCATCCAATGCGAAAAGGACTTTGTTCAGCTCCGCAGCGGAGGTGCACTGCCCCCATCCTTAAATCTGCCTGCCGGTTTATTCTCCTGCCATTCACAGTCTGGATCTCTTTGTTTTTGTGCCTGCGTCTCTTCGATTCTGTGCTCGGGTCAGTGCAATGCAGCTCTTGTGGGAGGGTTGCCCCCAGTCACTCATCTATGAAATGATTTCCAAATCTTAGTATCAACTTCTTAAGTAAATGGAATGGAACTTGGATGACAAAAAAATATATTTGAATAAAAATAAAAATAAAAACTTAATTAGGTGGAACTACACTCACTGAAATCATAATCCACTGTCTTCTACATCCGTAGTATCAACAAAGTAAGTCCCTTTGTACATCAAAATCTGCACCTCTGTTTGCCCACAACCATGGGTGTGTTCAGACATGGGGAGCTTGTGTCCATGTATTTCTATTGATCCAAGGTTTTTTTATCCTATGTTAAGTCATTTTCACAATTTGTTTTCCTTATTCAACTAATCTTGTCCAAGTTAGTTTCCACACTTTGGTGTTGTTCCATAGGTCCTTCTCAAAGACTTTTGCATTGTATAATTTCAATATTTTTGTAGTCTACAAGACTCCAAATTTTGTAGTTGGAAATCATTTCATAGATGAGTGACATTCTTGGTCCCATATTCTTTTGGCTTAATTATATTTTTTTAAAGCTTGGTATGATTATTTTAGAGATATATTAAATATCAAGTGGACAATAAAAGGAGATATAGAATTGAATATAGGACCTTCTTGCATTTATTGCTAGATCCTTATATTATCTTTGTCAAAAGTATAGCTTCTTTCTTTACATCTAATTTATTCTATGTGCCTTTTTAGTAAAATTTGTAGTTTGGCTTTAGAAATTTAAACTATAATAATAATAATTATTATTCTTATTTTAGATAATATTCTAATATTCTTTTTCAAAGATAGTAGTTTCTTCTTTATTTTAATTATATAGCATATTAAATCTTTTTTTTGTTTCTAAAATTCAAGATTAAAAAGTTCAAATTGATATTTTCAATAGACACTATAAACAACTTATTGGTTTTTGGATTTTTCTTAATGTCTTTAAATTTTGAAAAAATTATTATTATTCTTATAAATTATACAAGGTTGAATATTTATTAGAAACTTTTTTTATTTAGTGAAAAAAATGTTTATATTAATTTAAATAAATAGAAGTATATAGAAGTAAGTAGAAGTAAATAGACACATGTTGAAAAAATATTATTTTCTTAAAAGAGCTTTGAAGAAGTTTTCTAAACACATATTAGATATTTGGACTTTGATAGATATGTCATGTGGCTATTAAAAAACATTTTATAAGTTTTTTTCTTTTAAAAAATTATGTTAGAAGCAATCTACAACTTGAGGCTTAGGCAATTAAAATTAATTATGAGATTCACAATAAGAATTTTTTACTATTTTAGATTTATTCTAAAAATAGAAATACTATCTAAAAGGTGCTTTTTATTCAATCACAATTCATGTCATTTATAAGAATCTTAAATATTTCATGTCTACATGTATATTACATTGTTGTTAAGCTCATCATCTTGTTGTAACATAATTATTAAGTAAAAGAGAAAAAAATACCTATAGTATAGAAAGGCTTAATTAAAGACTTAGTAAAAAATAAATTATAGATAAAAGATAGAAAAAAGTAGAAGAAATAGTATTTACATTGTTCTTTTGTTAAAAGATCTTTTACTTATTTTTAATGTCATAAATAGGATAATGCAAGGTAAAATAGCAAAAGTTACTAAAAAAAATCCTTAGATTACTATTCACAAAGGATCAGTTGGGAATTAGGATTAAAACCAAAATCCAAGCCACATTATTGCATACCTATGGCAAAGACAAGTTTTATTTTATTTTGTTATGTTTTGTTTTGTTTTGTTTTAATCAAAGAACAAAGATTAGAGAAGAAACTTCAAATAAACTTTGTATGCATTGGTTTTAAGAAATTTGAATTGTAATAACCTTTTTAGAGCTATGTCAAGTTAAAGTTGGATTTAAATGACTATTTTTTAAAGAAATGAAGTAGAGTTTATATTTTGATAAAATTTATGAGATTTATTGCAAATTCATAAACAAAAAATTATATATTTGTACAAGTTTTTGTATTGATTTTAAGATTTAAATTTTAGTTCAATTAGTTGGTTAGATCTAAAATTATCAGCATTTAAGCAAATTAGGGTATTAGAAATTGATAATTTGAAGGTCAATTCTTTAAAATATTTCTCACTTCCTTTTAATAGATTTCCAATACACTCTTCCTATTAGCAGACTGCCAATACTACTTGTTTCTTATTCATTGTGCTTCTTAGTTTACACTACTAATTACAAGATTATCTTTATTGAAGTAGTCTTGTAATTTGAATTAGAGGGTGAATATTATCCTCACAAAGATGTACTTAGGATATTTTGGAACTTGTTTGGATTGTTTAAGATTGTTGAGCCAAGTATTGCTAAACACATTATGTGTTGTTTTTTCTAATCATAAATCTAACTTCACAGTAAGTTAAAATCTTTCTAAAATCAGATGTTTAGTGCATTCTTAGACTAAATATCACATCATAAGACATTATTCAACGATGTCCTTTTCACAATTTGTATTTAATATTACATTTTTTTTACAAAAAAAAGTAGGCTTATTAGATGCCTTATTAAAATATTCTTATCTTTTACAAAAATATAAAAATATAAAAATAAAAGTGTGATTAAAAATATACATATTAAAACCAAAGCAAATACATCTTTGAGCCATTAAATCAAAAATTATAGTTGATGCTTCTATTTTTTAAAAATTGTTCAAATATATTAGGAGATTTTTTTTCTAATGTTAAAAATTATCTTTATAATAATTCTAGAAATTTTGATATAAAGAGAAAAAAATAATATAAAAAAATATTTATAGATTCAAAAAGATGAAGTATAATTATATGTACTACAAGAAAAACATGAATTTTCAATAGTACAACACAATTAAGAATTTATCTTAATAAAAAAGCTAAGCTAAAATTAGAAAAGAAATCAAAATATTTTTTCAATCGTGTGATATGTATTCTAAATTAAAGACTCAACATCTTTTATCTTTTAGACTTATTTAATCACAATCTATTCCAAAGAAACCACAGTCAATTGTGTTAATGGACTTTATTACATAAAATATTTACATCAAAAAATAATAATAAATTATAATAAGAAACCAATTAAAACCATCTAAAGAATCAACTACCATTTTTTCCAAATTTCAACTTTGTGTATGAAGTACTAAAATGTACTTTATGTGCACTTCAAATTGGATTAAATGACAAACACCCATCTGCGAGCATGAATGCCACAATAGGAATGATGAGCGTTGTCAACACACCGATGGAGCTTTGATTGTTTGATTGTTGATGATATTGTTTACGGATTTCACGGAATCTGTGTGTGGAACGATGATGGCAATTGGGTTGAGACTCCGAAGCACTTGTGAAGAAAACTTGCGTCGAGTTCCGTGACGAGCTGAAGCATCGTCAAAGGAAACGTGCAGCGGCGCCGAATCAGTCCGAGCACCGATCTTCACCGATCGATCGCAAGCCGGCACCGTGACCGGAGGAGTGAGCGAGTGTGAGTTTGCGTTTGCGTTTGCTAGAAGCAAATTGAACAGAGTTGTTGCTGTAATGGGAATCCATTTCACGGCATGGCATGGCATCGCATCAATCATAAGGCTACGGCTGGCATTTCATGCGGGGCCCTGCCGGCGCCCCACTCCCCACAGTCCCTCAATTAGCTAACTCTTGGCCACACTAGGTGGTCCTTGGCTCCTGGGCCAGCTTCCGTTGCAGTGGAGACACCCATTGCTTGATGTTGTTGTTGTTGGAGTGGTTTAGTTTGCGAGTGTTGGTGTTGATATCGTTGTTACCGTTGCTGCGTTCTCAGGTGGGGTTATCAGTCTTTTCGTCGAAGTCAATTGGCTCGTTGCTGCTACTTTTGCGCGAGCTTGGTTCCTCCATGTTTGGGTGCTTGGAGTTGCCATTTTTATGGGCCGTTGTAGTGGATTTGATGAGGCTCGTTTAGTTTCTTTGGGGTTTAGTTGAGTTCTTCGCGTTTGTTGTTGTTGTTGTTGTTGTTGTTGCGATGTTTTATTGAGGTGGTTACCTTGGCTTTTTGAGGTCCGAGGTCGTTAATTTTGTTGGGTTTCTACGTTTCGGGTTTTAAAGTGTGGTGAGATCGGCTTGGATTAGAGATGCTTTTCTTGATTGAACGTTGTTTTGGAAACGTGTGATTTGCTTAGAGCTGCGTTCAATGCCTGGTTTTGGACGCTTTGGGTTGCAGTGCTATTTGTGAATTTACTTCCTTTGTTGCCATGATCGCTTCTGCCTCTTTTGGATGCATCTTCCATCACTGAGGGATATAGTTGAAATTGAAGTATCTTGAATTTCTTGATCATCTGTGCTTAGGTTTTGACGTAGTAGCCACCTATGTCTTTCCCTTGCTTGACCACCAGGGGCAATGCGTGTCAAGTTCGTGTGAGCGGCAGGAATTGGGTTCTGTTTGAATTCAATCAAGCCAAGTGAAATGGATATACTATCGAGCAGATCTAATACGAAACAGGATGAAGAAAAGTACAGACACTGGTTCGATTACGCCGACGCAGGTTTGCCTTCTTTAATCATCCTACGACACTGTTGACCTTGAGTAGACGTGCTGTTTTTTATTAGACCTTGAGGAAATATCTCTGGTTGTTGCTGTAGGGCTTTCTCTGTTCTTTAGAGAGGTTCAATGGTTTAGACTAGTTGATGATTGTTGTCAATTAGCCTTACTTTCAGAACCTCACACGAGGACAATTTAGCTTGAAAGAACAACCGACGTAGTGTGAGTTCTATGGCCAGAATTTACCACGGTATAATTCGAAGTTACCACTTTTGGTCCGCAGATGGCGACGGAAGACTTACTGGCGATGATGCAGTCAAGTTTTTCTCTCTCTCTCAGTTGCCTAGGGCAGAATTGAAGCAGGTGTCTGCATTCTAACCTCCTCATGTTGGCTATTTGCAACTCTTAATACGATGCGTGAAAGTAAACACTTTGAGTGAAAGCGTGCAGCTAGATACTGGTTAAATGTACTGCTATTTGTTATCACGCATGGAAATTCTCCATACATACTGCCATAGCAGCAGTGTAGTTGTTGGAGTCCTCTGAATGCATTTATTTTGGCATTTTGACCAGTTAAGCAATCCTCTTATTCATGACTGCTATGGGTTGTTGAGCCAGGTGTGGGCGATTGCTGATGTAAAGCGACAGGGATTTCTTGGCTTCAAGGAGTTCGTTTCTGCTATGCAGGTTGCTGATTCATTTTATCGCTTTCATGGACAATGCAGTTATGACTTTCCAGAGCAGCTGTTACTCAAGAATTTATTAAAAACTTACAAACGAGTTTCGAGTTTGCAGGTTATATCATTACTTCAGTCAGGCAACGATATCGGTCCTGATATTCTCAAGAATGCTGGTAACTTATTTTATCCTTCGAAGATTCATCACCCAAGGTTTACAGCGGTTGGATTGATAAGTTTTGTTCAGGGCTAAGGGTGTTGACATGAGCATTGAAAAATGAACTTTAGCAGTTAACCACGAAATAATTCAGTAATGATGGTTGGATTTACAACCTTCCCTCTTTGATGTGCTTTTACCTTGTAACTGCTGTTAGAGATGTTCCAACATTACTGACTGTTGATTTACTTGTTGTAGATCTGGAGAAGATTGGTGCACCCACCATGGTTGGGCTGGTAGAGCTACTGTCGGTGCGATTTGTGCTTATTTTCTTGTTTTGATTTGAATTTCGATATTTTATGGTCACGACACGAACAAAAACATAAGATTAACTTTAAGAGTAGAAAAAACGTAGTTATTTTGTGGATAATTTGATGCAGCTGAAACTTAAAGTAACATGTTGGCGGACAATCACTACTAGGCTGGTTGTATGGCTGGATAATCACTTAATATGTTTGTCTGATTTTACTTTATTTTATTTTATTTTTTCCAGAAAGGATTACGTGGATCCAAATCTTCAAATGGTTCAATCCACAGTAATGGTATGCTAATTTCCAACTCCTGTTCACATAATGTGACTGAATGTGCATGTAGGATTGTTAACTGTAAAGGGCTACTTGTAATCAACTTGTACACGTATCACCTGGAGGTGAATATGTTTAGTCAAAAGTAATGACTTTCATACAGTTTTTATATGATGATGTACACCCAGGTTCTTCTCCACAACAACAGGCTTCACAAACATCACAGTGGTTTAGAGAGAAGACTCCACGAAGGGTAAGGATCTTTGCTTACTAAGTAATATTGTCTATTAGTTGTTTGATCTAATCAGGTTCGAGTTATTTAATCTACGGAACTGTTGGTCTTTCGCCTGTTTGTGTTGGACCGTGCATGCTCAACATGCACCATTGTCACATTAGGGATACAAGTGTTTGGCATACCTACATCAGGAACAAAGCAAGACCCTGCTTGGATGTAGTGGCAGCTCCTGCAAAGTGGTAATTGTCAAGGTCGAGCACATGAAAAGGTTGATTAGTTTTCTCACTGTGGGTTGCGTTGGCTGGCAGTCACTTTCATCAGTATCAGTTACCTCAATTGTGGATGGCTTGAAAAAGCTCTACATTGAGAAACTGAAGCCTTTAGAAGTTACTTACCGTTTCAACGATTTCGTTTCTCCCACACTGGTATTACCGTATTGCATTCTCATATATATATATATAGTGCTTCTCTTGATGCTGTAAACGTTTCTGAATGTGGGAAATATAGGATGTGAACTAGCTCCGCTGATATTGTGATTGCACGTGTTACGCAGACAGAGAGTGACTTTGATGCGAAGCCGCAGGTGATGCTTCTGGGTCAATACTCAACAGGGAAAACGACTTTCATTAAGCATTTGCTGCGGACTAGTTACCCAGGAGCACACATTGGACCTGAACCTACTACTGATCGATTTGTTGTAGTCATGGTGAGAACCTCCTCTTCGTGAAGAGCTGCATATAGAGAATTTTGGAAATCAATTCTGTTTCTGGAAACCTCTTTTTTAGGCAAGTATACATGAAGGATCTGGGAATATGTGTTCCAGTATGAAACAACAAACACTCTTCACCAGCGATTTTGCATTCATTCAAATGGTTTTACTGTCTATATGTTTTATCCTGTGATGGAAGTTTTGCATGGTTGATCCCCAGATGTTTTCTGATTTTGAGGCTAGTAATAGGGCAAGATCATCACTAATAACTAGATGTCTTTTCAGGGGGGAGCAGATGAGCGGAACGTGCCTGGAAATACAATTGTAGTTCAGGCAGACATGCCTTTCAGTGGCCTCACCAGATTTGGCCAGGCTTTCCTTGCAAAGTTCGAGTGTTCGCAAATGCCCCACCCTGTACGATCTACTTGACTACTTATAACATGCAAGATTCTTAGAATGTGTAGGTTGACACGACAGAAATGGCTGGGCTGACATTGGCCTCCAATGTTTTTCTATTCCTTCTTAAACCTGCGATATGTCAAGTCTTTACCAGTTGTTATAAGGGTAAAATGCTGAGTTTGTAATTTTTAGCGAAAAATTCACAGTGAAATCTGGAGTTTGTGGAAAATCGCGGTGCTCCTTTGTCTCAACTTTTGGTATCCCTTGTGTTTTCTATGGGCTTCTTGTGTGAATGACTACTGTGATGCCTTCGCATACGACCAAAACTGACTATTTTGGGAACAGTTGTTGGATCACATTACGTTTGTGGACACTCCCGGAGTGTTGTCTGGAGAGAAGCAGAGGACACAAAGGAGCTACGATTTCACAGGCGTCACTGAATGGTTTGCATCGAAGTGTGACCTTATTCTGCTACTTTTCGATCCTCACAAGCTCGACATTAGTGATGAGTTCAAAAGAGTTATCACCTCTCTTCGTGGGAATACTGACAAGATACGCATTGTTTTGAACAAGGCTGACCAAGTTGACACCCAACAGGTTTGTTCTCCCTTCATTTCTGTGTGTGTCTTCGAATATGGAGTATGCATTGAATTGTGTTGGGTTTGTGCGTGGCTGCCATCATTGTCTTCAGATAATGTTTGTTAAGGTTGGGGAGGGGATCTCTTTTTATGGAACTTGGCTTAATGATAAAGCAATGACCTGGCCTTCCTTTTCAGAAAACGAAGGTTTGGGCTAGTTTCTCCTTCTAGACTGACATCTTATAATGTCCTTGCAGTTGATGAGGGTGTATGGCGCGCTCATGTGGTCCTTGGGCAAGGTGCTCAATACACCTGAAGTCATGCGAGTGTACATTGGGTGCGATTACTGACTTCTTGCGAGAGATGTTTATTACGACTGGCCGTATAAATTAACCAAATTAAATAGGACTAGGTATTGATCCAGGGTCAATGAGTTTACGGATCATAACATACGGTGAATTCTAGGCCATGAATTCTTAATTGTGTTGTCTTTTATCTTCCTTCCGTGATGATTGGTTTTGAGACCCTAAAACCTGGGTTTTGGACTCTGCTTCCATGCTTCTTGTGAGAGGGCATACCCAAATGTGCAAGGATTTTCCTCTTCGTGGCATGTCGAAGTCTGGAAAATTTCGTTTGATGGCTTCGTCACGTCTTTTGACGTCTCAGGTCTTTCAATGATCGGCCAATTGATGAGACAAAATTAGGGCCGATTGGAAAAGACTTATTCGAAAGAGAACAAGAGGATCTGCTGTCCGATTTGAAGGACATTCCAAGAAAGGCTTGCGATCGAAAGTTATGTTCAGAAACTCACTTGCTTTTTATCTAATTGGTTCATAATTTTGTGGAAACATTGTTATTGTGCCCCAGATCGTATTACTGCCCCTGAGGATACACAGCTAACACGATTGCCTTGTTGTACTTCAGATCAACGAGTTTGTGAAGAGGGCAAGACAAGCTAAGATTCATGCCTACATTATAGGTCAACTGAAGAAGGAAATGCCAGCCATGATGGGCAAGAGTAAAGCTCAACAACGCTTGATTGATAACTTGGAAGACCAATTCGCAAAGGTGAATGTTAACTAGACCTAAACCTGATTCCTAAACTAGATTGAGAGCTCATGTGATGTAACTGGCTCAAATTAACATTTGCGGTGTATTTTCATGAAGGTACGATAGTCTTACGAAACATTTTAGTACTGAAACATCTTCACACTTTAGCTGCCTTATATTGCATCAACTATGTTTGAATCTGATGATCATCTCTGTGATGAACAGGTGCAAAGAGAATTCCACCTGCCTCCTGGTGACTTCCCAAGCGTAGAGCACTACAGAGAAAGACTTGCTGGATACAACTTCGATAAGTTTGAGAAACTGAAGCCTAAGATGTTGCAAGCAGTTGATGATATGTTGGGCTATGATATTCCAGAGTTGCTCAAGAAGTTCCGCAACCCGTATGACAATTAGGGCCACCAAAAAACTGTTTCCTTCGGTGAGGTGAAAAGATTTCAACATTTAGCAATGAATAGCTGTGGCTTGGAAATCCAGTGCCCCCAAATGCGTAGTAGCGTCTACAATGCCTCATGAACAGAAATTTCTGGATACTTGTAACTATTAGAATCACACTAGATTTAAAGTGGAGCTCAACATCTTGGTTGGCTACTCGTTCTTGATTGGCTCATATACGCATGTCAAAAGCATGTATTATAGTTTGTTGAATTTACTACTGTTAAGGATTTCTGTACCGTTACTTCAGTCAAAATTTCAGTTTGAATATCTCCAGTTCTACACAAACCTTAGCAGCTTTTCATAGGTGCTCCTTCAATACAACAGCATCCATCCCTTCACAATAGTCACATCGCGAAACATGTTCATCATTGGTATTCCTCCAGACCCATCGACCTACTTTTAAAATCTACGAGTCAATGCACACTCCGCAAGGTCTCATGCTGCAAAACTTATGGTCCAATCCTCCCGCATGCATTGAGCTCACGACGAAATAACTGGAGAAAATTCGAAAACATCGATCACCTCTGTGCCTAAAACTTGAAGAATACATTGAGATATATCACATGAGCTACTGCATTCTTTGAATGTTTGGAGATTGTAAGGATTCAGGTTGCGCATCCCAAACCCCAACTTTTATTGCTCAGGTAGAGAACATTGTTCAGGGACAATACGAGGGTTCAGACACCTCAAATCACCAATCTGAAGCGAAGCTTCTTGATGATGACCCATCTTGACAAACAAATCCTTTGTTCATGACGACAAAAAATTATATCCAAGACCAACTACTACAAGCACTTCACATGCGACACCAGTCATGACTATTCCTCAGTCCTAATTCTGCGTGTAAACTAATCACATCCTCATTATCAGATCTGAGAATTGAATGTGAAAACGAACACTGAAACGACCAACATGTTCCCCTCTCTGGATGTTGGCTTCGGAGTGTGTCAGGCTCACCTCCAAGCACTTCATGATGCAGAGAGTGATGCTGAATGATGCGACTCGTTTTGCAAAATGTTGCCATATCAATGGACCTCTTTTTTTTTTTTTTTTTTTTTTTTTTGTTTTTTGTTTTTTACTTCTTCTTCTTCAGTTAAGTTGTGTCTTATTTTTCTTTAAAAAGTTAGCTAAATTTGTGTGTTTGTTGTTATTATTATTATTGAATCATGGTTACCAAATATCAGGTAGGTCTTTATCTTGTTACCACAAATAAAGTAAGAAATAAAAAAATGTAAATCTATTCTGAAAATTTAAAGTAGGAGAAGATGAAAAAATAATAATAACAATAATATGTGTACTTTTGATCTATTGTATTATAATGATGAGATTAGATAACAGTTTAAAAATTAGGTGTTTTAAAAGATGATTTATTGCCTACAGCATATTTGCCAAATAAATCATAAGTCAGAGTAGAATACATGTTTTATTGTTTGCTTACTAGCTTTTTAATATTTAATCAAACTACTTTTTTCTTCTTTTTTCCTATTTGCATCTCTTTGACAAAACTCTATAATGCCTTATTAAACAAAAATTTATAAATTGCCAAGAAACTTGTCACTTGTTTGTAACATAAAAATTGTAAGATGTCTAAGTCTTTGTGACTTGTAATTTTTTTCTTGACCAATTGAAACTGATGTGGTTAAAAGTAAAGATGGTATATGCCTACAAAGGCATAGGTGTGCCACATCTCAACTTTATGAACTTATAATGAGTTGTATGATGTATTAGATCTAGGAGATAAGAGACTTGGCAATACAAGATTAGGGAATATAAAATTAGGAGATATAAGTTTGAGAGACGTAAGTGCAGATTTGCTAATTGTGCAATAGATGACATATTAAAAATAAATTATAAGTTTTAAAAAAAACCAATTGCATTTCTATCTTATCTTCTTAATATATTATCATCCTTTCCTATTGCAATATTTGCTGAAGATTGTTGACATCATCCAACATGCTAACATTTTATCCTCATTGCAAGGTCATATTTTATCCTCAAATGCTTTGCAATATTATTATATCTTACTTTTTGGAGATGTTTGTCAATAAATGAACAAAGTTTTTAGAACTAGTTGAGATAATTTAATATTAACTTTGGCTATAGTACGATGTAAGCAAAAAAAATTATCCTCGCTTTTTAATGCATGTATAAAGACATTAAAAACCGTTTTTTCCATTTCTTGGTTGTATATCAAATAATTTATCTCTACATCTAAATCTTCATACAAAAAAGCGCAATTTGGATTGTTTTAAAAATAAGCTAATACTGCTTTGTCTACTGCTTTTTATTCCACGATCTCGCTTATCTTGTCATCATTGTTGCTTTGAAAGTCTCTGCCTAATATTAACAATTTTTTTTTTTTTTTTTTTTTTTTTTTATTTTAGAAACTAACCTTACATATTCTAAACTCTTGGGAATAAAATTGTTATGATGATATTTGATTTTGCATTTTTTTTTATTTTTATTTTTATTTTTTTTCATGATTTTAGATTTGATTTTAAAATTTATGGCTAAAAGAATGGGGCCCTAGGATGAAAAGTGCATCTTGTGGATTTTTGAGTTTCTTAAGGAGGTACTTTAAGTACTATCCTAGTGGAGTCACCACTTTGTTCTTCCATCTCTATCTCATTTGGTTCCCATCCTTCATCTTCTTTTGATAATCCTAACATATTCATTACATCTATGATACATTAATGTTTGAATGCTTTTATTTTTTGGCTTGTTGAAGATCAAGGCTTTCTTCTACTAACTATATTGTATTAAAAGCAATGATGTGTACCACCTCTTAAATCTAGCTAGTGCAATTGGCTTCTATGATAAGATATTTTTATTCTAATTGTTAAGCCTTTTGCTCTAACTCTTATGTTGTCATCCCTCCTTATTCTTTCACTTAATACATCTCTTAATACAATTCATTGTTTATGAAAAAAAAAAATTTGTAATATTGTTTCATTATTTTGTTCATTTTTTTTAATGTCACAACTTGTTGATACATGATCTAAAATGTAGCCTTATGAGTTACAATTATACCTTGAGCTGCTTCAAGTTTATATTCGATACATATTAAAGTAGCTTGATGAATTGTAACTTTGTCTTAGGTTTCTTTGAGCTTGTATCTAGTGCATAATAAATCAAATTACAGCTTTTGAATGATATTTTCTTAATGTCAATGACAAGAACTCAAAAAAGATATGTAAACAAGTAAAAAAATAAATCAAAGAGAGATGAAAAATTAAAAATAAGAAAGTAAATATATTTAATAAGAAACTAAAATGGCTATTGCCAAAGGCTAGAAAACTAAAGACTCTTGAAATTAGACTAGAAGCAATAAAGAAATTCATAAGAATAAAGAAGGCTTTACTCTTATTTTTATATATACTATCTACCTAAGAGCTGCATGGCAATGTTCTATAGGACCTCCAACATGTGTTCAATTTACAAGACACGTGTCTTAACTTACAAGTCAAGTTTCTTATATATGTGCCATATTGTTAGCTTATATAACAAGCTTCCAATACATATAATACATGGCTAATTTGTTGGCTAAATTTCTAACCTATCAATCACCTATACATATATAAAGGTGAAACCATGTCTATAAAGCTTCTATAAAGCTTTTACACAAGATAATATTAAATTAACTTATTTTTACTTATTTCTATATATTCATATTATTTAGATAACTATAGATATATTTTTGATACCTATAGTAATCAATGATGCGTTGTAATTGTTCAATTGCCAAGTATAATATGGAGAATTTTGAAAGGCAATTTATTTTGCCATATATAAGTTGTTTCATGGCCTTGTTGTTCATGACAAGTTGAGTTGCATAATTTTTTATTATCTTTAGCAAAAAAAAAATGTTGGCAATTGTTTGAGTTAAGTATATCAACCATTTGTCAATAATTTCTTTAAAATGATGAAACACTTTAAATATTGGCTAGTTATGGAATGCTAATATTTGGATTATTTTTGGTTTTTTTTTAATTGGATTGATTTGATGTTTTTATCTCATACTTGCATAATTTGTAGTTTTGGCATGTTTTTTTGTGCCACTCTAATATCTCCGTAACTTGCTAGCATTGATTGTAGCATTAATATAATTTCTCTTATATATCAATTATGGACCTTAGTTAAGGTAGTACATTGTGTTTATAAAAATGAATCAAATAGCAACAAATATATGTGGTGAAAAATGGACCAATAGAGATGCTAGCATATAGATTGTGATTGAAATGGCATAATTTAATGTAGAGGTATTTGTCTACAATCATGCCCTAATTAATACATTCATTGTTATATACCATTAAGTATATTTGTATTTAATCCTCCTAAATACAATTACAATTAATGTAAAAAAATATGGTGTTCAATATACTATGGAATCAAGTGATTATGGACTCTACATGTTGTTAACCAAGCTTAAAGTTGATATATATATAGTTGTCACAATACATTTTTTTTACAAAGTATTTGGTATTTAAGCACAAATGTTTATAAGTAGTTTTGTCTCATACAATGACACTTTCTAAATTCCATTCAAAAAACAAATTGAAGTATTGAAATGAATATTTTATCTTGATACTCTCATTAATTCTTGTGGAATATTTTTCATTATGAGTCATGGTCTGAATAATTTTTTTGCATAATTAGATATTGACCATGTTCCAAAAGTGATTGTAATACTTCAGCAAGTTTGTTTTCTTGGTCTACATTGTATGAGAGTACAACTTCTACTAGATCATTGTCTTATGGACATAGAACTTTGGCATAGGCTTGATAGATAAATGCACCATCCTTTCTAAATTACCTACCATAGAATAAACAAGGGAAGAAAAAGAATTGAAAGGCATGAAATTAATTGTGTCACTAATGGTTTGAGTACTAGAAAAACATAACATGTCAATAGTATAGTTAAAAAATGTAAGAAATTTGAGTAAATGTGAGGTGATTTTAAAAATTTTGGGTTATAAAGATCATTAGAAACCTTCATACAATAATGTTTTGAAATGTAGTTAGATGGACATCATGTAGATAACATCTATCATGGCGCTAAAGTTATAGATGTCAATAAGTGGATTTAAATAGGTCTAATTTGAATTGTGGATAGAAGCATTGTTAGTAATATAGATGTGATTTTTCTATATATAGGCATGATGATATCAACTTGAATTGAGAGAATATTGATGGAATGCAACAGAGCAAGTTAAGCATCAACATCAAGTTGGGTTTGGAAATTAAGATCTTGATTTGCCATATTTC